GGGGGGGGGCATTTTTTATGTCATCTTAAAAGTTATTCATTTGTCTAGCTTTTGGTGAAAAAATTGCAATCTATCTAGATCTAAATTTGAAATCGAGATATTTGCTATTGACGAAAGTGGAGGTCGCCCGATGCCGTATGTAAGAATCAGCAAGGAAATGGCCGCCAAAGTTTGGTGACTTCCAAAGCTGTAGTATTCTTGGAAACTGCAAATGTATATGTTCTGTTGTGCCTTTGACCAAGGTCTTTCAGTAAAATCCATGGAGGAATGTGTGTTTTTTTTTTTAGATATCTTGATATTTTCGTTCAAAGTTTTTCCTTATCCACTCTTGACACTTTTGTCTCTCATCTTACCGTCGAATATTTCAATTATAATGGTCTGGTTGCCTTTTGTATGACAAAAATATTCTTTATTGTATTTTCCTACTTTTCATTTTGTTAAGGAGGGTTTATCTAGTGTGGATAATCTGACACATTCCATTGCCAATCTCGTTTGTTTGTTTGTTGTTGTGTTTTTTTTTGTCTTTTGTTTTGTTGTTTTATTGTTTTGTTTTGTTTTGTTTGTTGGTTGTTTTTTGTTGTTGTTTTTTGGGGGGATGGGCGTGTTGCTTTCCAGCTAATTCTCGCCTCACCACCTCTCAAACGCAGTTATTTTTTTATTTTCTTTCATGCAGAACGTTATCATTTTGGGACAATTTGATCAAATCCTCCAGGAATAAATTTACGCTTGGTTTATGAGAAGATTTGCTCAAATTGTGCCTAATTAGTGGCTGACAGCTTTTGCCCCGTCCGTGAAGGAAAATCCTGGCCGGCCCCTGACTGTATCAAATGAATCAAAGTAAATGCATCAATTAATGGGCAATGCTCTCTGCCCTCTGGGTCTTTTGGCTCTTCTCTGTGCAAGAGAAAGACAAGAGCTCGATGTCAATGTGGTTGAAAAGTCTAATGTTCCTTTTATCGAGTATCTCCTTTTTTTCTGCATGGATGCCGCCTCTCCAACTAGCCTCGGTTGGCACTGAAAGGCTTGGTCTAAAATATAGCTCTCTTTTTCAATTATCTCATTAACTGCATCGATGGAGATGCAAAGCATGTTTCCAATAAATCAGACGAGCATTTGCGATATTTCGTGGTTTCTAATTCTGTTTCTTTCCTCTCTCTCTCTCCTCTCTCTCTCCTCTCTCTCTCTCTCTCTCTCTCTCTCTCTCTCTCTCGCTGTCTCTATCTCTCTCTCGCTGTCTCTATCTCGCTCTCTCTCTATCTCTCTCCCCCCTCTCTCTCTCCCTCTCTCTCTCTGTCTCTCTCTCTATCTCTCTCTCTCTTGACTCTGTCTTTCCCTTTGTCTCTCTCCCCGTCTCTCGCACGCACTCTCACTCCCTCCCGGTTTATTTCTTCCTCTGTCTCCTTTTCGATCTTTCTTTCCCTCTACAGTTTTTTTCTTCTTTCTGACGGTGTCTCTCATACCCCCCCCTCTCTCTCTCCTCCCTCTCTCTCTCTCTCTCTCTCTCTCTCTCTCTCTCTCTCTCTCTCTCTCTCTCTCTCTCTCTCTCTCTCTCTCTCTC